ATGGATTTAACAAGTTAATTTAATTATTAAACTAATCTAAATAAAACAAAAGATTAAAATAAATAAAAATTCAATTGATCTATGGCTAGACGACTGGACAAAACCTCATTGAGAATTTTTTTTCTTAATTGGTATTAATTTGTTCTTGAAATCTCACAATTTTACTAACATAATTATTTTTAGGAGTCAACAAGCATTATTTTTTATAGAGTAACGGGCAAGATTGATATGTGTGTATATATACACATATATATCTCTCTTGATCCAGATGCATACAGATGCATATATAGTATATTAAATTAAAAAATTTATGAGGACAAAAAATGACTTATATTAAGTTGTATTTCCAACATGTCCTTTATTTAAAAAAAAATAAGTGGTATATGTGTAATAAAAATTAATAATTTATAAATAGTCTATATTCGCATGGATTATTTATTAATTTTTATATAAAATATTAAAAATTTAATTTAAAAAAAGTTGATTTGGATTAATCATCCCATATAACCCAATATCATATTTCTTGATCAGGTCAACCTCTATAACTATAGTTTCAAGCCGTGAGAGAAGTAATTTGCACCTCCTCTGAAAAGAAGATTAAAAAATCTAAAACTTTACAGAAAAACACTTTTAACTCCAGACCCATGAGCATTACTCATTGGAATACTGCAAAGATGGTTTTTACGCTCTACTAGAAAAATTTAGCAATGACTTCCAAAAGCATTGAAGTTTTTCTGCATGGCCTCTTTGTTATTTTTTCAATTGAGTAGGGATAATTAAGGTTTTTTTCTCATATTAATTGCACAGTAAAACAATTAAAATATCGTTGAAAGCAAAAAATCTAAATCCTGATGCGAAAGAGGTATTGTCGTATTTTTAAAATGGTTTTTTTCTTTATTATAATTTAAGCTAAGAGGCCATTTGTAATCTGATCAAATATAAAAAATAATAAACAATTAAAATACATGACAAAATAAAAAAAATACCTTTAAATAAAAACATTTAATCATGAAGACAAGGGGTGTTCTAGTTTTAAATATCGTAGCAGCAACAACAATAATATATTAAAGTTTTCTACTGTAAAACCCAAGTGTCATTAATTATGCCTTCTCTTTTGTTCATCTAATGCTCCAGGGAAAAGCATAGCCAAAATAATCATCACATCTCATGCCTTGTAACCTTTCTCTCTTGGCTTGAAACTCTGCTTTCAGCCAATCTCGATCCTGAGGAAGATAACGAGAGTCGTCTTGCATGCTGAAATCAAACCCATCTTGCATGCTGAAATCAAACCGATGCATCTCATTGGCATGCAGTAGATGGACCCCACACTCAACCACTTGAAAAAAATCTAATAATAAGAGATTGCCGTTCACATCTACCGGCTGGAATTCAACTGAGACCTCGCTGTATTTACTAAACGTATCCTTTTCTTTGGCAACCAAACAGGGATCCAATCCCACGAATATGTGTGCTGGGTCGTTGCCCTTGTCATCAAACCAACCATCAAGATAGCAAGAGAGATCATGGCTATCGCCGTGCTCATTGCGGAAGTGATATGTGCATTTAACTTGCAACTCAAAGTTGAAAGAATAAGATGCAATGACAGCGCAAAGAGAGAAACCCAAGAACTCGCTATTAGCCCACTGTGAAGATAGCTGGAATGTTACTGTAGATCCCCAACTTTTATGGCTAAACCACTCCGGAGTTACATCTCCAGGGAGGCAGAAACTAGGTGGCCTAGGGAGGCAGAAACTAGGTGGCCCAGGGAGGCAGAAACTAAATGGCCTCGGGAGGCAGATATTAGGTGGCCCAGGGAGGCAGAAACTAAATGGCCTCGGGAGGCAGATATTAGGTGGCCCAGGGAGGCAGAAACTAAATGGCCTCGGGAGGCAGATATTAGGTGGCCAAGCTGGAACATCGGGCAGCTGTTATCACAATTCAAATAGCATCTTTTTAAAATGAGACGAAGGAAATAGAGAAGTATATCAGAGGTTTAAGAAACAAACCTGAAGGCTTGCCAAGAATTTATAGGTCCTACGCATGATAGAATAATCCCCCCATCTATTGACTTGGAGCCTTGCTCTCTTGGCTTGGAACATTGCTTCCAATCCATCTTGATCCTGAGGATAAAAACGATAGTATCTCTGCATGATGAAATCAAAGCGATATATCTCATTGGCATGCAGTGGGCGGACCCCACACTCAATCACTCGACAAAGATCTAATGGTAAGAGATTGCCGTTATTATCTTCCAGTTGGAATTCAACTGAGACCTCGCTGTATTTAATAAACGTATCCTTTTCTTTGGCAACCAAACAGGGATCCAATCCCACGAATATGTGTGCTGGGTTGTTGCCCCGGTCATCAAACGAACCATCGAGATAGCAATTTAAGTCACGGCTATCACCATGCTTATTGCGGAAGTGATATGTGCATTTAACGTGCAAACTATGGCCGACAGAACGAAATAAAATGACAGCGCAAAGAGAGAAACCCAAGAACTCTCTATTAGCCCAATTTGAAGATAGCTGGAATGTTACTGTAGATCCCCAACTTTTATGGCTAAACCACTCTGGAGTTACATCTCCAGGGAGGCAGAAACTAGATGGCACAGCTGGAACATCGGGCAGCTGTTAACACAATTCAAATAGCATCTTTTTAAAATGAGATGAAAAAATGAAAAAATTATATCAGAGGTTTAAGAAACAGACCTGAAGGTCCGCCAAGAATTTATAGGTCCTACGCATGACAGAATAATCCTCCCATCTATCAGCTTGGAACCTTGCTCTCTTGGCTTGGAACCTTACTTCCAATTCATCTCGATCTAGAGGATAAAAACGAGAGGAGTCTGACATTATCAAATGAAAGCGTTGTATCTTATCTTCATCATTGGCATGCAGTAGACGGAGCCCAAACTCCCCGCCGTCATACAGTAGATGGACCCCACACTCAACCACATAACAACCATATAAATTGTTTTCCAGGTGGAATTCAACTGAGACCTCGCTATATTCACTAAACGTATCCCTTTCTTTGGCAACCACACAGGGATCAAATCCCATGAATATGCATGCTGAGTCGATGCCCTGGTCATCAAACCAACCATGGAGATACCAATCGAGGTCACAGCTATCACCATGCTTATTGCGGAAGTGATATGTGCATTTAACAAGCAAACCATAACTGACAGAACCAAATGCAATGACTGCGCAAAGAGAGAAACCCAAGAACTTGCTATTAGTCCAATTTGAAGATAGCTGGAATGTTACTTTAGATCCCCAACTTTGATGGCTAAACCACTCCGGAGTCGCATCTCCAGGGAGGCAGAAACTAGATGGCTCGGCTACAACATCAGGCAGCTGTTACACAATTCAAATAGCATCTTTTTAAAATAAGATGAAGGAAAGAAAAAAGTATATCAGAGGTTTAAGAAACAGACCTGAAGGTCCGCCAAGAATTCATAGGTCCTACACATGACAAAATAATCCTCCCATCTCATGCCTTGGAACCTTGCTCTCTTGGCTTGGAACATTGTTTCCAATTCATCACCATTCACAGGGTAAAAACAAAAATAGCCTGACCTGATCAAATCAAAGCTATGTATCCCATCTACATACAGTAGACGGACCCCACACTCATGTACTTGACAAAGATCTAATGGTAAGGGATTTCCGTATATAAATTCTGGTTGGAACTCAACAGAGACCTCACTGTATTCACTAAACATATAATCTTCTCTGGCAACCACACAGGGATCAAACCACACCAATATGTGTGCTGAGTCGATGCGCTTCTCGTCATACCAACCATGGAGATAGCAATCGAGGTCACGACTATCACCACGCTTATTGCTGAAGTGATATGTGCATTTAACTTGCAAACTATGGCCGACAGAACCAAATGCAATGACAGCGCAAAGAGAGAAACCCAAGAACTGGCTATTAGCCCAATTTGAAGATAGGTGGAATGTTACTGTAGATCCCCAACTTTGATGGCTGAACCACTCCGGAGTCGCATCTCCAGGGAGGCAGAAACTAGATGGCACAGCTGGAACATCGGGCAGCTGTTAACACAAGTCAAATAGCATCTTTATTAAATGAAAGGTGGCAAATGGAGAAAAAAAAGATGTATATCAGAGGTTTGAGAAACAAACCTGAAGGTATAACCTTTTGGTGTAAAGTTGAAATTTCAATAATGAGTACGCCAAGATTTGATTGATCCAACGCAATCTCGAGCAATTAGTGAAAATGAATTCAAAAATGTTCCCCTCAACTGCAGTTGATGAGCTGTGGTGGAAGCCCTGGTAATGATTCAAACTCTCGCAATTGTCTGCATCCAACTTTGATAGCCGTGGTGGAAGCTCCGGTAATGATTCAAGTTTCTTGCAATTCCTTAATCCTAGATATAGCAACTCCAAGAGTTTATTGATGCTTATAGGTATTCTCCGAAAATCGTTTCCGCTTAGATCTAACACTTCCAGTGACGATAAACAACCAAGACTATCCGGCACTTCCGATAGACTGCAACCATCTAGCTTTAGCTTACGCAAACAATCTAAACGCATGCCTCTGTTGGGCGATTGCAAGCGACGAAGACATTCGGTGTTTATTAGATCTTTGCAGTTTCCCAGTTCCAAGCAGGCAAGTGCCTTCAGATTTCCAATCCGTGAAGGCAACTTTGTTATGCGTGTCTGTTTTAAATAGAGATATCTCAAACATACCATCGGCTCCAAAACTTCGGGAAAATTCCGAAATTGGACGCAACCTGAGAGATTAAGCCTCTCCAGTTTTCTCAACTTGCAGATGCTGCTTGGAAGAATCTCAAATTGTTTGCAGTCTTGCAGGTGCAATTCAGCAAGATCAAACAAACATTCTATTGAGGAGGGAATCTCTCGTATTGCTGTCCCATTTAAATACAGCTCCTTTAAATTATTTGAAACCTTTGGAAACTCCGTGATACTTGAGCAACCAGAAAGATTAAGTTTTTCAAGACATACTAACTTAGAAACCGCACTCGGCAGATTCTTCAGCCTGTTGCAGCCAGTTAGATCTAAATAAAAGAGTTTCCATAGATCACTAATTGAAGATGGCAGTTCTTCTATTGCAGTTCCATCCAAGTACAAGTATCTTATACCACTTGACAAATCAGGAAGCCTGCTGATAGAAGAGCAGCCAGAGAAGTCAGCAATTAGAAGAGATGTCAGCAAATACATGTTTTCTGGAAGATTCACCAGGAGTTTGCACTTCCTCAAATTCAACGTCTCAAGTCCACAGAGTTCCCCAATTGATCGGGGAAGCTCATCAATAGCAGTCTCATTTAAATTTAAATATTTCAGTTTCCTTGCAGTTTCTGGGCACTTCTTGAGATTTGCACAACCAGAAAGGTTCAGAGTCTCCAGACAACTTGAATTAATTCTACTGGGAAGATTGATTAGTCTTTTGCAGCCTCTCAAATCTAAATCAACAAGCTTGTCCAGATGCTGAACAGATGAAGGAAACTCAACCAAACTTTTACAGAATTGAAGATTCAATCTCTCAAGGTTTCTGGCCTTTGAAAGGTCTGGCAGGAAAGTTATGTGCTCACAATGGCTGAGGTTGACATCTTTTAAATTGACGAGATTCTGAAGCAAAATGAAATCAACAGAAAGAAATTACACGTGCATACCACATGCACTTAATTTCAAAGAAAGAACTGTGCATGCATGGAGTTATTTTAGAATACCTGCTCTCCTCTCCACAGTTGGTTAACCCTGCTAGATGATAGGTTAATTTCAACTAGGTTCTGTGGACGAAAATTGCTAGGCAAAGATGTCAAAGGGTATCCATCCCAATGGAGATACCTCAACTCTTCAGAAAGAGACTCGAGGCCATGAGGAAGGTGCACTCTGCATTTAACCCCAGCTTCAGAATTATAAATTTTTAGCAGTCTAAGTTTATACATCCTTTCCAAGGCTGTAGAACTCAACTCAATTTCTCTTATTTTTGAAACATCCAAGAATATCCCTTCAACTTTTCCAGTTCCCTGAAAACCAGTGAAGGAGAAACAAAGTTTTAAGTAAGATTTTAAACTTACTAGTACAACCATATTGCATTGCATATGAAAGGGAAAACTTTCAGGGTATATGAATCTCACCAGATTATTGGTCAACACTTGATATACATCTTTAGGACTCCACAATCTGCTTTGTCCTCCTAGCTCGTCAAGAGATTCTTTTCGAACAACTTCATGGGCCATTTCTTGCAAAAGATCATGCATTTCAACCTTGTCATCTGAAATTTTAATGAGACACCTGTCAATGAGAACACTAAATCCACTATCTGTTTTGAAACCGCAGCCATCTAGTATCCGCTTCACAAAATCAACTCGATGCCCTCTAAAGAAACATGCAATGTCGAGAAATATACTCTTCTCTTCACTATCAAGTGCTTCATAACTTATTCTCAACACACTATGAACTTTTTGCCGAGTTAGTTTTTCAACGTTATTAAATGCACTTTCCCATTCTTCTGTCGTTCTGCCAAATAGAAAGGAACCTAAGACTTTAAGAGCTAATGGATTCCCTTTAGCGTAATTTATTGCCCTCACAGACAGGTCCATAAATTTTTTTGGGCTCTGGTTATCCTTAAATGCATGCAAACTAAAGAGAAGAAGAGCTTCCCGGTTATTCAGTCCCTCAACCTCAAATATTTTGTCTGCATATTTCTTAAGCACCTGTTTATCTCTAGATGTTAGGATAATTCTACTTCCTGGTCCAAACGACTCACATCCTCCAAGTAACATTTCAATTTGATCTACATCATTCACATCATCGAAAACAATCAGAATCTTCTTACGGCAGATCCTGTCTTTAATGAAAGGGAGTCCAATACGTGGAGTGCGAATATGTAGATATTCTTCCTCTGTTATTTTAGAGAAAAGTTCATCTCGCATACGAAATAATCCTCCATTCTTTTCTGATTCCCTCACATTTGCAAGAAAATAGTGACCTTCATATTCCCTTGCGATCTTGTTGAAAATCTCTCCAGCTATGGTTGTCTTACCAGTACCACCCATGCCCCAAATTCCTACAAAACAAACCTCCGGTAACTGTGTGCATAACAAGGCTTCGATTTGCTTCATACGTGAGTCCATTCCAACCAGGCCCTTCAAATCACTTGAGGATGCATAATTCAATTTCTTCAAAATATGACGCACAATTTGTTCCACGAGTCTCGACTCAGGCCTGCCAACATGGAGGCGAACAGATATGTCAAATAGTACCCCAAAGAAACACAATCTTTTCTTGAGTTTGGAACTTGTGAGACGGATTCCAATTGCCATACATTATCACACTACATACATGTGAAATCTAATCCCAATCACTTGCAAGTAATTCTTTTTCTAAATTTACAGATGCATGGAAAAACTATACTTTAAACTGCTCATTTGGGAACATTTAGAAGTCACATTAACATATTATAAAGCTCAAAAGATATGCTTCTGAATCCAAAAATATGATTATCAACTTCAAGAAATTTTAATTGCTATAAATAAATTTTAATTGCTATAATTCCAGAAAAAAAGGTTGAAGATGAGAATCTATAGTTACCTAGTAACCTGTGAATCCCATCCGGATATATTGGCAGCACTTGTTAAGTCAGCTCTCCACCTTGGAACCTTGTCCATCTTCTGCTTAAAATTTCTTTCAAGCTCAGCAAACGCATTCCCAAAACTCCCTGTCTGTTCATCAACATCAGACGGGTCCACATGATAAAAAACTGGTAAAACAATCTGCCCGTATGCCTTCTTGCATTCAAGTATCTTCACCAGTTCATCCACACACCATGGAGAAGATGCATAGTTTCTTGAGAATATTATCACTGAAATTCTCGATTCTTCAATTGTTCTCAGAAGTGCACCCGTAATTTCTTCTCCTCTTTCAAGCCCGTCGTCTATGAAGGTCTTGATTTGTTTACGACACAGAGCATCATAGAGATGACTGGTAAAATTATTGCGCGTATCCTTGCCTCTAAAACTAAGGAACACATCATACTTCCTTTTATGAGCAACAGCAGATGAAGATGCCATATCAGACTGTTAACATATCGTGTCTTCCTCAATCACTAAGAATCGGAATCAATAAGTGCTCTCCCTTTTCTCCTAAAGACATACAAAGAGCACCCACTTCAAATTGAAGTCTAAGAGTACAAGAACCCACACAATATATATTTGTCTGAAAATTCCTCAAACTCTTAACGATGGATATAAACTAGCTTAATTTGATATGATCTATCTTAATTTGATCACTCGTCACTTGCTACCAATGCTAGCTTTCTATTACTTTCATTGCAAGAACAGTCACTAGCTGAGCAAAAAGAATTAATACGTTCATGAAACAAACTTATAAAACTCGTATATATAATATTAAATATAGAAGACGCATGAACCAGAAAGACTTACCAACAGATCGTAAGAACAGTTGACATGTGTTTTCCTTCAGCTAACAAGACGTAGAAGAAGCTGAATATTGTTGATGATAAGAGACGATTTTTCTTGTCTATTGCCTTCTCCTACTCCTTCAAGTAAATTCTTACAGACAATCTGATCTCATCGTTATCTAAATTAAAGATGGTTTGATCAAGAAACAGGAGAATGTGAGAAGACTTTGGGGTCAATACCAATTATTGATCAAGAAACAGGAGAATGTGAGAAGACTTTGGGGTCAATACCAATTATTGATCAAGAAACAGGAGAATGTGAGAAGACTTTGGGGTCAATACCAATTATTGATCAAGAAACAGGAGAATGTGAGAAGACTTTGGGGTTAATACTATTTTTTTTTTAATGACATGGATTGTTCGTAAAAAAAAAAAATCCCTTTCAAGAAATAGGTGTGTGTGAGAAGACTTTGGTGATATATACATATCGAAAGACTATTTAGAAATATATACCAACTTTGTAAAAATATATATTTTATAATTGATGATAAAATAATGTTCATTTTATCCTTTTACTCTCTCTTTTTCAGTTTTTTCAATAATAATAATAATAATAATAA